ACCTCAGGTGGTCCACCCGCCTCGGCCTCCCAAAGTGCTGGGATTACAGGTGTGAGTCACTGTGCCCGGCTTCTATAATTTAATTTTTAATAGTGGCTTTTTAAATTTCTGAAAAGTTAACCACCAGCTCCCATAAGCTGGTATAAATGGGTTCCAGGCCCCTGGATCAGAACATTTCCCCTGGAGTGAACTGCTGAGGGTAGGACTCTGAGCTGATAGGAAGAGACAGGCGTCTAACTGCTCTGGGCCTGACTGCCAGGTAGCTGTTCATTTGCCCTCTGTCACCAACATCAGGTGCTCTAGGCTACCTAGGAGAGGCTCAACAAATACAGGTCATCCGAGTTAAATAATGTGTGATGTCAACACCCAAAGCTGAGCATCTCAGCTGGCCAGAGCCGCAGGTGTAGGAATCAAAGAAGGAGGAGGAAATGTTACATAATTGATGTCAACACAGATTCCAATGCAGAATGAAAACAGGTGGGGATGAATTGGCAGGGATTCGGGAAGCCCAGCTTCCCGGAGAGACCTGAACTTTGAGAACTCCAGACGGGTGTTCCCAGAACCTGGGTATTTCCGGGCTTTACCCCAGAACCTTCTGAATCAGAATCTTCCCAAGGCAGAGCCCATAAATCCCCTGCTGATTCTTGGGTAGTCCCTGCATGGCTGGGATCTGCTGATCGGTCCGCCTCACTGGTCTTGGCGATGAGGAGGGCAGACTCTGGGGAGTGGCTGGAGCTGCAGCCAGGGCACCCTCTCTGTACACTCTTGTGCTTGAGCAGGAGAGCTTTGCCCTGGCCAGCTTACATGGCAGTTAATAGCACAGGCCTTGGATCCTTAGCTTAAAACCCAGGCTCCACCTCTAGTTGTTGTATAACCACTGTGAGCCTCAGCTTCCAAATGGGGTAATAACACTGTTGTGGGATTACAGATCATGTGCCTAAAGTATCCTGGGCAGTGCCTGTAAGTATCCTGTCAGTGGTAGATGTGGCCATTAAGGTCATGCAACTGGACAGTAGCAGACCCCAGGCCCCCAATACTGTTTAAACATAGCAGGGAGAGCTAGAGACCCTAAAGTAGAAGGGGCTTTGATAACTCGAAGGTACAAACTTTGATGTTGCATAAGGAAAAGAGTCCCAGGTGAAGAGTTAGAGGACCCGGTGGCGTTTGGTCTCAGCTCTGCCAATTATTGTGTTCGAGGGCAAAGAGTTTTAGTTTCCAGGTAGTAGATGCTAAATAGGTGCCAGGGGGCCCAATCCCTCAGTCCACTTGGCATTTCGCCACTGCTGTAGTGCCACCTCAGAGTGCCCAGGTGTCTCCTTATCTTTCTATCTCCAGGCTTTCTCCAAAACCCAGCAAAGGTCACATAACTCAGGGCAAGCCCAGCCAGTGTCCCAATTATCGATTGCGATGTAACAAACCACCCCCAAACTTCCAGGGATTATGACAGCAATCATTTATTTTGCTCATGATTCTGTAATCTGCGGGCTGGCTGGGCTTCACTCTGTAGGGCATCAGCTGGGCCTGGAGTGTTTAAGATGGCAACTCAGCAGGGTCAATTCTCTCTCTATGTGGCATCTCCATGGGCTAGTTTGGGCTACTTCACAGTGTGAGTCTCAAGGTACTTGGATTTCTTACATTGCAGCTGGCTTCCAACAGAACCCACAAGTGGAAGCTGCCAGGCCTTCTTAACACATGGGTTCAGAAATCACAGGAGTCACTTCTGTAATATTCCATTGACCAAAACAGTCCTGGGGGCAGCCCACATTCAAAGGGAATAGATGCTGCTTGTGGCCAGTTCATTTTGCAGGTAAGAATGTGAGTCCGGAGATACTATGGCGGTCATCTTTTGATAATACCACCTGTTGCATCCAGCATGTATGAGAGGAGGGTGGGGATGAATTTCCCTGAGGACATCCTTAACCAACAAGGGTGGAATTGGTGGATAAATGCAGAAGGTCCCTGTCCTTCAGATGGACAAATCTGAGGCGTATTCTGTAGGTTTTTCAGGGGAGGTCTAGTGGGATTAAGTCCCAGTTACTAGCAGTTGAACCAGCTCAAAAATGCACATTTATGCCCTTTTCCTGTTTTCCCATGTTTATTTCTGCATCCCTTTCTGCTACTTCTTTTGACCATCTCCCAGTTCTAGCCTTAGGCTTTGTTTTCCTGGAAAACCAAACCAAAACGTTTATTAACTCATTTGGAAAAGGCCCTTAAATTGAGGCCTGTAAAATATTGTACCTGGCTCCCTGCTATTGGCAATCCCACCCAGGAATGAGTGTGAAAGGGCTTTATGAACTGGAAGACTGGGCCCCGTGAGGAGGGTTGCTGGGAGCAGAGGTATTCCTGGGGGAACCATGGGGACTGGGGAGCTGCTGGGGTGGGAGGCCCAGCTCCCGGAATCATTTGGGAACAGTAAGCGGTGAAGATGGGGTGGTGAGGCAAGTGGAAAAGGGGGTGCCAACGACAGTGCTCCCTGGGTGGGGAGAAATAAGGTGTGCTGTATTCCAGTCCTGCCCTGCAGATTCAGGTGACTTGGCACGAGGTAAGGTGACTCACCAGGCCAACTCAGCCTGCGACAAGGGCCCTTAAGATCATCCGCCTGGCCTTGTGGGGACTCGCCCTTGTGGAACAAGCCTTGCCCCCTGATTTGGCCTCTGCCCCAGGAACAGAGGGACTAAATTACCAGTGGGAGGGGCCAGGCCTCAGTTCATCTACCCTCCGCTTAGTAAACATGGAAAAGCTGAGCCCTTCTCCACACTGGGCTCCTGGGAAGGAATGTGAAGGTGAACAGACCACTACCTGTGCACTTTAGCGGCTCCCAGTCAGGAGAGGAGGCATGAAACCAGGAGGCAGGGAGCTGGTACATCAGAGGAGCTCGGTGGGACAGAGGCGTCTTGCTGAGGGAGGGGCTCTGGAGCACAGAGGAAGGGCGCCTGGCCAAGTCCCGGAGGGCTACGGGTAATCGTGGAAGTCTTCCCAGAGAAGCTGATCTCCATATCTAATCCCACTAGGTCTCAGGACTTACCCAGGAGAGAAAGAGGAAGAGCGTCAGGGCAGAGGAAAGAGCAAGGGCAAAGTGGCTGGAGCCCAGAGAGGTGGGAAAGGAGTGAGAGGAGGCTGGAGAGAGAGGTGGGGAGCAGAAGAGCAATGGGGAGCCCCAGAGGAGTTTAAAACAGAAGAGAAAGGGATCGGGTTTGAGTTTAGGCTGCTGGTTACAGTAATGGCCAGGTGAAAAGGGAGTCAGTATTAGAGGCAGGGATACCAGCTGCTGGGGCTTATTCATTCATTCATTCATTCAAATATCTGTGGACCCCCTACCAGGTGCCAGACCCTGTGCTGTTGTGGGGATCTACGTGAGGGGCCAGGTGACCTGGACCCTGGTGATGTGGCCACAGTGGATAGGCGGGGAGAGATTTTAGGCAGGGGTTTTCACTGTGTTACACAAACACATCCTGGCAATTCACAAGTTGTCATCTGGTTCCTGGACTAGTTGTGCATGAATCTGGAAACTAGAAACCTGTTATTTCAAGAATGGAGAGCTGAAGGGCAGAGCTTAAGACCAAACCTCAGGGGCCTCATTTCTGGGGGCCCCACCCAGAGCTGTGCAGCCCAGCCTGCCTGTCCTTCCCTTCCCCGCCATTCTACCCCAGGCTTATGAGAGCTTCAGATGCAGTAGTGGCTGATGATCTTGCCTGCCTCTTTACAGTCAGAAGGTGAAGCCCAGATGTCCTGGTTTCTCTTCATCACCTCTGGCAGGGAGCTAAATGCCTCCTCCAGGGTCATTCAGGAGGTCAGAAGCCCGGTTGGGACCCTGACGGTCTTTGTGTTCCCCTCCCCATCAGATTAGACTCCTTGAGGGGAGACACTGTCTCCCATCTCAATCAGACTCTGGGTTCTGAGGTTGTCTCCCCTGTCAGATCAGAAACTTGGAGGGTAGAATGAGTAATGGGAATGCAAGTCAGGGAAACTGCTTTGCTGCCATTTAATAGTTGTTTCCGCCGGGCGCGGTGGCTCAAGCCTGTAATCCCAGCACTTTGGGAGGCCGAGGCGGGTGGATCACGAGGTCAAGAGATCGAGACCATCCTGGTCAACATGGTGAAACCCCATCTCTATAAAAAAAAAAATACAAAAAATTAGCTGGGCATGGTGATGCGTGCCTGTAATCCCAGCTACTCAGGAGGCTGAGGCAGGAGAATTGCCTGAGCCCAGGAGGCGGAGGTTGCGGTGAGCCGAGATCGCGCCATTGCACTCCAACCTGGGTAACAAGAGCGAAACTCTGTCCCAAAAAAAAAAAAAAAAAATAAGGTTGTTTCCGCTTGGAAAAAAATCCTAGCTGGGCACATAATGGCTCATGCCTGTAATCCCAGCACTTTGGGAGGCTGAGGCAGTCAGATCGCCTGAGGTCGGGAGTTTGAGACCAGCCCGACCAACATGGAGAAACCCCGTCTCTATTAAAAATACAAAATTAGCCGGGTGTGGTGGCTCACGCCTGTGATACCAGCTACTCAGGAAGCTGAGGAAGGAGAATCACTCGAACCAGGGAGGTGGAGGTTGTGGTGAGCCGCGATCGCACCATTGCACTCCAGCCTGGACAACAAGAGTGAAATTCTGTTTCAAAAAAAGAAAAGAAAAAATCCTGTATTTGTCTCAATTTCCTCATTGTAAAATGAGAAAAATAGTACATAGTAGGTGCTCAGTAAACATTAGTGGAACAAATGATGGAGAGTCCAGGTGATGCTGGTGGAGAGCAGGTGCTGGTTTACTAGGACGGCGGAGAAGCCTGCTGGGAACAGAGCCCACAGGAGGAGGAGAGCTGCCTCCATGAGGGCTCCAGTGCCTCAGCAGGCCTCGCCTATCCAATTCTCTCTGCCCTGCATTAAAAATAATACATCAATGACAGCTGGACGCTGTGGATTACACCTGTAATGCCAGCACTTTGGGAGGCCAAGGTGAGCGGATCACCCAAGGTCAGGTGTTCGAGACCAGCCTGGCCAACATGGTGAAACCCTGTCTCTTTAAAAACTGCAAAAATTGTCTTCTTGCCTAACACAGTGGTGTTCAGATGCTTCTTGGAGGTTGGCCAGGTGGCCTACATCTCCTTTGGACCTCATGCAGGAAAACTGGTCGTGATTGTAGATGTTACTGATCAGAACAGGACTTTGGATGATGGGCCTTGCACTAAAGCGAGGAGACGGGCCATGGCTTTCAAATGCATGCAGCTCACTGATTTCATCCTCAAGTTTCCACACAGTGCCCACCAGAATTATGTCCAACAAGACCGGCAGAAGGCAGACATCAGTACAAAATGGGCAGCCACACGATGGGCCAAGAAGATTGAAGCCAGAGAAAGGAAAGCCAACATGACAGATTGTGATCATTTTAAAGTTATGAAGGCAAAGAAAATGAGGAACAGAATAATCAAGAATGAAGTTAAGAAGCTTCAAAAGGCAGCTCTCCTGAAAGCTTCTTCCAAAAAACCACCTGCTGCTAATGGTACTGCTGCCGCAGCTGCTGCTAGAGTTCCAGCAAAAAAGATGACTGCTGCGGGCAAGAAGGCTCCAGCCCAGAAAGCTCCTGCCCGGAAAGCCGCAGGCCAGAAGGCAGCGCCTGCTCCTGAAGCTCAGAAGGGTCAAAAAGCTAGACCCCGGCCAGACGTGGTGGCTCACGCCTGTAATCCAAGCACTTTGGAGGCCAAGGCGGGCGGATCACCTGAGGTCGGGAGTTCAAGACCAGCCTGACCAAAATGGTGAAACCCCATTTAAAAAAAATAAATAAATAAAATAAAGACCTATTTAGATGGATGAGTTGTTAACTCCATTGACTCAATCACTTTGTTTTACTTTGAAAGTTAATAATTTCCACCAGTGTCCAGCATTTTTGCTTTCCTGGGTCACACTGGNCTCCACTCCAGAAAGCACCTTCTCCAAAGGCATCTGGCAAGAAAGCATAAGAGGCAGTTATAAAAATTAATAAAGGTTCTTTTTGACTTGTTGGCAAATTTTTATATAAGTCTTTGGATTTAAAGCCTGTTGTTGAGGCTAGTGTTAGGAGGCAGACTGATAGCAGGATTAGAATAAACAGTAAAGAATAAAAAAAAAAAAATACAAAAATTAGCCAGGTGTGGTGGCTCACACCTGTAGTCCCAGCTACTTGGGAAGCTGAGGCATGAGAATCACTTGAACCCAGGAGGCAGAGGCTGCAGTGCAGTGAGCTGAGATCATGCTACTGCACTTTAGCCTGGGCAACAGTGAGACTCAGTATCCAAAACAAAAATACATCAATGACTAACAGGATTTCCCTGCCAGTGTTATCTCCAGTGACTTCCCACCTATCTGGGACCTACTTGCCAGCCTCCTCCACTGTCCCCACTCCCATCCACCCTACAGCTCCCCAGACTGTGATGGGAGGCTCCCCATGCCCTCACATGGCACCCGTCCCCTGTTCATGACCCTTCGGGAACTTGGGGCCTCCTGGGCCCCACCCTTTGCACTAGCTGCTGCCCCACCTTCCCCACCTCCCCCCTCGTACTCAGCAAGATTCTGACTAACCCTGGCCACAGTGACCCAAGGCTGCACCTCCACCCAATCTTCAGTTTGTGCTTTATCATCTGTGAGCACAGTTCTGCAAAACTCCCTCAGTCCAGTTGGGTGCCCTCATAGATGAGGAAACACACAGAGAGTGGGTGCCCAAGCTCTGGTCTCTACTGTAGATGGGCCAAAAAACCTGGGCTGTGTTTGTCAAAGGGCTTTGTGAACAGGCCAAGTGCTGAATAAAGGTGGGGCTTACAGGGTTAAGGAACTGTGATTGCCTTGAGGATGAAAGTGGTTAAAGCCAAACCAGAGAACTTTGGACCTGTGTGTGGTGGGGGCGGGAGAAGGGTGGTGGGGGGGAGCAGAGACAGCAAGAGGGAGGAAATGTGATGTTGGCAGAGAGGGAGGGATGGCATCGTTAGATAATTGGCTGGTAAATACATATAATCCTTTGTAAACACATCCATACATCCATGCCCTCATGAAAATGGTCATAGAAGGGGCCAGTCCCCAGTTGAAGCCTGACAAAGCCTCCCTTTAGACAGATGGAGACAGACGCCCAGCTGAGCCTGGCACCATTCTTCCTTCACATTCTTTCCAGTCCACTGTACCCACGCCCAGCCTCTACATCTCCTGCCCACCCCTCGAGTTCAGAAGGCCTAAGCTTTGCCAAAGTTCTCTGGTCACCTACCTGGAGACAGGAGTCCTTTCCAGAGATGTTGGGTGTGCCAGAAAACCACAGGAGGTGTGTTCCATCTCATCACGGTGGCGGAGGGAACAGACAGGAGCTGGGCTGCCTGGGTTTGAATCTAGTCTTCCTATTTTTACTGAGATTTTGTGCAAGGCAATCTCTCTGTGCCTGTTTCCTCATCTATAAAATAGAGATGTACTGCCCGCCTCATAGGGCTGTTGCCAGGTCAAATGAGTCTACTCACGTATCATCCAGTGCAAGCATTTAGTGCCTGACAAAGTGGTGAGTGACACCCATTTGCCATGATCGCCCTGCCTCTCCCCTTGCTCCTTTGACTCCCTCCTGATCTCAAACCTTTACTGCAATGCTCCTCCCGCATCCTTACCTCCCCCAGAGGCCTGCCTCTCCCTGCTCTTCATCCCTTTTTGTTCTTTCCTCCCCTCCAGACCATCCTTAGTCCTCCCTACTCTCTGTGGATGCTCCCAGGGTCCCCTGCTGCTCAGAGGCCACAAGCCAACCCCTCTCTGCCCTGCCCCACACACAGCACACACCAAGCTGTCCTGTCCACCTCATGTTTTATTGTAAAAATGTTAAAATAAATTACATTTGACATCATTGCCAGTATGTACATACAGTGTGTGCGATGCCAGGACAACCAGCAACAACATGAGTTCATTAGAACATTTCACAGAAAAATACGAGGCTGTTCCTTTTTATGTCCCTGCCGGGTGGCAGCCTCAACAAATGACTAAAGGAGGAGTGGGGGCGTGGGCATGTACCCATCACTGTCTTCACATGTTGGGGAGGTGGGCGCTGGCACCACTGCCCCGCAGTAGAGGGGCAGAGGGCACAGAATGAAGGGGGCTGGGAGGGTCTGATGACTTGCCTCCTGCCCAGCATCCAGTAGCCTGCAGTGGATACCCCTCCCATCTTTGCTCACCTCAGTGTCCCCTTCTCCACCTCTGCTTGGGGACATGGCCCTTGACATCATGGCCTTGACTGAGGTCACTGAGCAAGGCCCAATTGAGTTGTGGGGCAGGAGGGCAGACACCAGACCTTCCAGTCCTTGGGACCCTGCTCTTTAACCACTGTCTCTGAAGCCAACAACAAATTCCAGGTATATAAAAACAGCAGTTTGTTAAAAAAATAAAATAGAAAAATAAAGAATAACAAAAACATTCAGGAAGCAGTGGGCCAGCCCCAGGGTGAACATCACGGAGAACCCAAGAACTCCAGTAGCAGCGAGTTCTGCCCACCCCTCACCAGAGAGTCCACGAACAGTTTCACATTATCTTTCGCTCCCCAGCCCAAATCCTTTCCTTTACACACACGGGTACACATGTGTGTGTGCACACACATGCACTGCACATACACACATGCACATCAGACAGTAGCTATAGAAAGGAGCTTGATTCACATATTGACCATTGCCCATTTGTGGGCCGAGAGCAATCTGGCCTCACCCTACCTGGCCCAAGTGGGTTGGTGGGAGGAGAAGGCGGGCAGTGAGGTCCTTGTTTTGGGCACAGGGAAGGAGAAGACAGTGGGATGGGGAGTGCAGGTCCTCGGGCCAGGGGGTGGGGTGTGCAGTTCTCCAGCAGGCAGGAGGGGTAAGGTAGAACGAGCCAGAGCTGAGCATCACTCTTGTAGCTCCCTGGTCAGCAACCCCAGCAGTCCTGGCTTCCAGTAACTCATGCCCTGCCATTCTCCCTCCTTCCGACCACTCAGGGGACCACAGAAAGCCAGGGACAGGGAACAGAGCTCTGGGCTGGGCCTGAGTGGACCAACAAGGAGGATGAGGAGGATGGGGACCTCCGGCCCCGGGCCCACATGGGACTTGTCTCCAGGCCCTGAGTCAGAACTGTTTGAGCCCCTGCGCTCATGTCACTCTGACCTCCAGCAGCCTCCACCCCACTGCAGTTTGTAGTAGGTGCCCGACCAGACCGGCAGGCCCACAGCTGGGATGCGGGCGGGCCCTGCCCCCGCTGAGGTACGTATGGAGATGCCTGACCCTACGCACAGTGGTACCTCCCCAGACACTTCAGAGCTCCCTCCCCAAATGCTGAGCTCAGTAATACTGGTAAACAGCTGAGGCCCTGGGTCTCAGAGAACTGTGTGACCACCAAATGCCGGGGCAAAGACCCTGCAGGCAAGGCCTCCTCAGGGTCACTGCTGCCTACCTGTCTGGCCAGACTGCATGTCTTTGCATTGTGAGATACACCAGTTAAGCTCAGGACAGATGCCCCCACAGCCAGGGTATGGTTCAGCTGGAGAACAGAGGCCCTGTCCTGGGCCTGCAACTAACTGGGGATGATGGAAGGTAAGGAAGGCCCCTGGCCCCCTCTCCCAGTTCCAAGGCTGCCCCCCACCAGGGGCCAGGGGTCCCGGCCATCTCAGGCCACCCCATGAGGGGGGAAGAGGCCGTGAAAGGTGGGGTGGGGAGCCGGCCCTGCCTCACGTGCCCTTGGGGCTATTAGCCTTGTTGTACTCATTCATCAGCTGTTCATAAGGCACGGAGAGCTCAGACTCGGTGCTGGTGAAGGTGGACTCGTCGGAGGAGGGGATCTCGCCCATGTTCAGGGTTGCCTTGGCTTCGGCCCCCTCCTGGGGGCTCTCCTCCCCTGCCAAGTTGTCCTCTAGTGAGGACTTGGAGGTCTCCTCATCCAAGAGGCCAGCATCCTCATTCACAAAGGTGATGCTGGCGTCCTGGAAGATGAGTGGGTGGTAGTCCTGGACGTCCCACGGCTCGCATTCCTCGCTGATGCGGTCCAGCTGGTTTATGAACACCTCGGGGGCAGGGGAGCTGTCCTCAGGGGCCCGTGTCACGGCCTCCTCACCTGGGGGCCTTGATACATGGCCTTTGTTCCTCAATGTCTGCGACACCTCTTCCAAGCTGGGCACCCGGTTCTTGGAGTAGACCACCAGAGGCGCCAGGGAAGGGGGCAGTGCTGGCAGCCCACCACCTTGAGACCCCAGCCCCGGGCCTGGTCCCGGGCCCCTCTCCCCACCCCCGCTTGTCTTCATGGCCTTCTTCCCGATCTGCTTGATGAGATCATTGTAGGTCTCTTCCTTCTTGGAAAGAAAGCTAAAGATGTTGACGTCCTTGGAGGCTGCACTCCCCTTCACCTGCAGGGCCGTCCGGGAGTGCGGGGAGCTCTCGAAGGACTCCTTCCGTCGCCGCCGCCGCTTCTTAATGGCTTTGTGGACTTCCACAAACATGCTCACCTTCCAGTTGACAAAAAGGGACAGCCAGGCCAGCCCCAGGTAGATCCAGAGCTCCACGAAGTAGCGGTACAGGGCATGGTAGTTCGCGCTAGGGTTCACACCTGAGTGGACAGGAAGTCCAGCGGTCAGGAAGAGTTAGCAGGGCCCGGCCAGTGGTGTGTGATCTGAGCAGGGGTCAGGCCAGAGCACAGGAGTGGGGTACAGTGGGATAGAAAGGGGCCTGTTCTAGACCCTAGACTATATCCCATCTTTCCAAAGGGCTTGGGCCTGCCGTCATTCATGACCCCATCCCAGTCTCCAGCCTATCTCTGAGTCTCAGTTTCCTCAACTACAAAAAGTTAAGACAGGCCAGGTGCGGTGGCTCACACCTGTAATTCCAGCACTTTGGGAGGTTGAGGCGGGTGGATCGCCTGAGCTCAGGAGTTTGAGACCAGCCTGACCAACATGGTGAAATCCCATCTCCACTAACAATACAAAAATTAGCCAGGCATGGTGGCGGGCATCTGTAATCCCAGCTACTCGGGAGGCTGAGGCAGGAGAATCACTTGAACCCAGGAGACAAAAGTTGCAGTGAGCCGAGATCACGCCACCGCAGTCTAGCCTTGGCAGCAGAGAGAGACTCCATTTCAAAAAAAAGAAAAAAGTCAAGATAGTGACTCTTTGAAGGAAGCCAAACTTCCTTCAAAGGAGGTTTGAAGGAAACTTCAAACTTCAAAACTTCCCCAGACTTTGGGGTACTGGCAATGGCAATGTAACCAACACGTGGGTCAAGAAATAGTTCATGAGTATTTGCCTTTCTGTTGATTCTTCTACCATCCCCAGCTGTTCTGTATATATGGTACAATTCAGTTAAAAATTCAACAGATGGATATTATACAAGGGAGCCGCCAGCACCCTCCAAGCTGGAGCAAGACTCACACTGGTGGATTACAAACGAGGCTGGTGCTTAGGTCGAGATGACCCAGGAAGCACTGATCCTGGCAGGAAATACTGGGAACCATTTTTATTTTCCTTGAAGGTCTGCTTTGCCTCCCTGACTTCCTCTTTCTGGCTGCCTCAGATCGGCTCTCCCCTAACCCGGAGGAGGGACGTCTGCTCCACAAGCCCCTCCTGCTGCAGGGATCCTTCTTGGATTATCCTCTACAGCTCTGATGGTTCTCCTAAACTCCAGGATTATTTGAAATATCTTACATGACTACACATACAGGCATGGTGACCTGTATTCCATTTGCCCCCTCGACTAGACAGGGACAACTTATAGAAGGGACCTGGAGGAAAGGGGCTACCTTTCTCATCAGACTAGAGGTTCCTCCAGGTGCTGTCTCTCTTCCCCTGACCAGGCTCAGATAGCAGGTGCCCTGAGTGGTGCTGTGAATCCTGCTCAAGGCTCTCAATCCTAAGCAGAGTTTGATGATGACAGTAATGAAGGCACACATTGATATAGCCAGGCTGTACCCTCAGCACTCGTGAACAGTGATTATTATTTTTACTGATTTTACAGATGAGGAAGCTGAGGCAGGGGGTTGGTGTCTTGCTGGAGTTGAGAAAGTATGGCTAAATGTACGTCTGTACTTCCCTAATACCAGAGGCATCTCCTTAGCCTGCTCTGGGCCTCGAGGGCTGGGCAATGGCAGGGTTGTGCCTTGTCCATATGTACCGTCCAGGACAGCAGGCCCAGATTGGCCAGGGTCAGGGGAGTGTTTATGCCTCTCTTTCCTGTTCCTCCCCCAACTCAGCCAGCCGCTCCCAGATGCCACATATATCAAGCACAAGGCTAGTGGCCTCTCACAGCCCTCTGGGCAAAAGGGAGGGGGTAGAGAACCGAGGCCTCTGGAGCAGAAGTTGAGGTCACTGGGGTGCTGGGTCAACAGGGTCAAACAGGGTGTCAAGAAGATTAGTAACCAAGATGCTGTGCAGGCCACAAGCACAAGCAAGTACATGCATGGATGGGGCCAGCTGGCAACAGGCCTCCAGACAAAGGCGCCAAAGAACCTCACTGCTTCCCTGGGTTAAGCAGGGGAGGAGTAGGAGGGAGTGTCAGGTCTGAGGGGTGGGGAAGGGCAGCTGGGGAGAAGGGCTCCCTTGTCTTTAAGCTGCCTATACAGGAGCAAGGCCCCAGGCCTCTCAGCCATGCCTCCAGGACAAGCTCCCTCTGCTCTGTGAAAGATGAAAAGCTGCTGAGGGCATGGAGGGGACACTGGTGGGCTCAGAGGTTCCCTGAATAACAAGCACCAACCCTGCAGGCAGAAGGCCCTACTTGCAAGCCCCGCCATGATGCCAAGCTCAGGAGTCAGGGGAGAACAGAAAGGAGATCAGAGACTGAGCAGAGAGGAAAGGAGGAGGGAAAAAGCCATGTCTGAGAAGAGAAAGGGAACCAGAGAGAAAAGAGTCTTCTGCCATTATTCCATGTCTTGGCTTCCTCTTGTAACTGGCAGAGTGGGTTGAGAATCCCACTGGGTAAGAGAAGTGCCCACAACACGGAACCCTACCAGCCCCCACCCCCCAACATAGGTCTGCTGCACTGAAACCAAAGAAGCAGAAAAAGAGGTAGGAGGCAGAGGTGGGGACTCACCGGCCACAAAGTCACCGAAGCCGATGGTGGAGATGGTGATGAAGGAGTAGTAGAGGCCCTCGATGTAGTTCCACCCCTCAGTCACCATGAACACGAAGGGTGGGATCACCAGGTGGACTAGGACGCCCCACACGATGAAGATGACTGTGCACGTGATCTGCGCCTTCCGCTGATGGGGAGCAGGAGGTCAAGTCAGGCAACAGTGGAGAGACTTGGAAACCCAGCCAAGGCACCCAGAGGGCTGGGGAGGCAGCTAGAGGAGAAGCTAGCTGTGTACCCAGCCTGACCCAGGAGGGCAAGGAGCGCTGAAACTGCCCTCTTACAGCCCTGTCCAATTCTTGGAGCCTTCCTGTCCTCCCTTCACCTGTCATGGTTCCCCCATCTCTGCCAGCACCCAGGGTAGGAGACGTACCAGACTCACGCCTCTCTTGGTAAGGAACTGCCCCAGTCTCTTGGCGCGTCCCCCGAAGAACTTGCCCAGAGCACTGATCCACGTCAGGCAGAGCGGTACCCCAAAGAGACCATAGAAGACGCAGAAGAGGCGACCGGCGGGGGTCTTGGGAGCCACATTGCCATATCCTGAGGAAGGAGAGAGTGAGAACAAGAACAGGAGCGGTGGTCGAACCAGAGTTGGCCTGGCTTCCAACACACACACAGCCCATTCTCTAAGATAAATTGATACTAATCTATTATCAGTACTTAAGTAATGACATTTCACTTGATCATACTCTGATCATGATCACTGATAAGGCAATTATGATGACATGGGCTATATCTCCTCCATGAAACAAGGAGCTCCCTGAAGGCAGGGACTAAACCTGGTCAACAGGTCTTCCACTAGTCCATATGGTACCACCGTGCAAGTTACAAGACACGGTCTTTGTGCAGATTCCCCAGAAGCACTGTGGTAGATGGTCTCCAAAGATAGCCATCCTCAATTCCCTCCCTTCTTATGCAACCGCTCACATCAAGTTGTCGCCTAATCCTCTTCCCTTGGAATCTGGGCTTTAGTGGCTTACTTGGCCATAGAATTAGTCTAGGCAGCAGAAGTGACACT